ACGTTAAATAAGATACGATTACTTTGTTCTACACATACATATAACTTGTATAACTTTTTTCTTGCAGCTACGTCAAATCGGTGATCGACACGTGCCATGTTCCGTTGAAGAACATCACACTTATGAGCCATAGTCTTGGCGCGCATATAAGTGATTTCGCCGCGAAGAACCTCCAGAAATTGGATTACGGCAAAATTCCGCTTCTCATCGGTACCGATCCCGCGGCTCCCATATTCGGTTTAAGAAATTGCAAGAACAGATTTTGTAAAAAAGATGCCGAACGTGTAGTAGCTCTTCACACGTCGGCTCTCGGTTTACAAAAATCTCTAGGTCATCTCGATTTGTGGTTTAATAACGGATTAAACCAACCAAAATGTGGTGGTAACTATGATATTTAACTTAAAAATAAACTATTCAGGGAAAACATCGTGAAGAAAATAGCTAATCAGAAAGAAATAATGTAGTACATACAAAACTACAAAATCAATTATCTTATATTCTACGAGATTGATATAATGATGGATGCAATTATTATTGTGATAAAAACGGAGTTTACAACCGCTGCGCCAAATTGAGTCCGTATTACGACCCATATAATTCTGCATATCAATTGCGCATCAAAATCAACTATCGTAAAACTTCAACTATCTGCCGATTTCTGGCAGCCAACAATGTATTACACAGTTTCAAAATAATACAAAAATTATAAAAAAATTACTATTAAAAATAAAAAGGGATGGCCACTTGTACGGAAACACCCTTGTAACATCCATTACTTTTTTCCCACCCCCTTAAAAGCTTTACCAAATTACGTAACAACCTGCTGTCGGGCTTTGCAAAGTAGATAGCGGTGACCGAGAAATACGGAGGCTCCCCGCTACCCAAACGCCTACCCCTACGATGACACGAGTGGAGATTCGCTGAAGAATTCCCTAACCGCCGTGAGAACACCCGAAGAAGAAGATTGTAATATTCCACGCGTCATGTAAAAATAAATCGTGCTTCTCTTTCTCCTTCATGTTAAAGCACCGATCAAATTAGATTTTATTTTAGATTTAATCTCGTTGGACAGTTATT